TGTCCTAAAGGAGTTTTCTTTTTGAAATCATGGATGCCTCAGATGTTGTAAAGGATGCCCATACATTGTTCAACTTGTTTGAGGAAATGACTTTATGGATTGAACCAAGTATATTGTCCATGTTGTCACAATTGTTAGAGTAGTGCCCTAGACCAATCATTATTGTAGATTGACTCTTTGTAATAATGTTCATTGATCAATAAAAGGCATTTTATTCTATATCGCGTAAATCTTATTATTGCAATATGTATTGATATATGTCCTTAGAATGGTAGAGCCGTGACGAGGGATTCAAGTGTTTCAAATCTTGATAGTGAGAACCCTATGAGCACATATGGTGGCCATTCTAGAAACGTCCTTAGCCCCAGTATTATTCTGAACTAAGGGCACAGATAATACGGTAAGGCTATCATAGTGTTGAACGCCCCCTGTCGAAAGGCAGTGACTGATCTCACTTGTCAAATTGTTTGGTGACAACCTGGTGCAACACATGGGTGTTTGTTGTAGGCGATTACACCACAGCAAGTTCACTGGACTGACCCACCAGAGGATTGCATATGGATGTACCCCCAGTGTCTATGGAACAAATCTCTAACGAATGGTGTTGCATGTGATCCTAACTTGAGATCACCGGAGTGCCTTGTGCACCGATTGGTGTAGTTTGACACTAGCCTAACGCAGTTCTTTTCAGAGCTGTCAATACTTGGTGATTGGCTGCATCAAGGAGTGTATCAAGACTATGGTGGATTGACAGAGGATTCATCACTCCCGGTACGGGAGAAAGTTATCTCACGACGCAATTCAGTATATGGCAATGACACAAAACTGTGGCCACGTGGGATTGAGTTGTTGCTCTACCCAGTTTATAATACGGGTCATTGGTCCGAAACTGAATAAATAATATCGAAGTAACCGAAGGTTGACACTATTTCTATGCCTTCGTCTCATCGGATAACGTATGATGAAAGGATCGAATTGCACGGTAACCATATCGTTGACATGAGCTACTTTGCTGAATCCGAATCTATCGGTGGCCATGATGCCTTGCTAGAGGCCATCTTGGTCTGTGTATTAGAGACATTATTGGTGTTAATCGCAATACTGTACACTGCCGATATGATGAGGAGCCTAAGTCACACACATAGAAGACTTTTAAGATGTAAGAAGAAAGAAGGGCATTTTCGTCTTTTAAGGCAAAAGGGTATTTTGGTAATTTCACAGTGCAATTAAATTTGCTGAGGTCGTAGCCTTTATTTAATTTGTTAGAAAAATTAAATAAGTGAAATTACGTTTAAATATGTGTTCACACATATTTAAATATACTATCATTATTGTTAAATGTTAATATTATATATAATAATTATATATATATATATTATAATTATATATTATAATATATTAATTGATTTTAATTGAGATATGATGGAATTAAAATAAATCAAATTGGGAGTGTTTGGCAACAGGGGCGTTTGGGTTGAGCCCAAGCCTATTCCGTATGGGATTAGGGCAAATTGTTTTTAGTATAAAGGAAAAGTGTGTGATTTTTTATTAAGGGTTTTTTTCTCTTTTGAAAACAAAACACAGCCGCCCAATTTTTGCCTCTCCCACGGCAGTAACACCAAGAGCCTAAAAATCAATTCAATTGATTTTTGTTTTTCTTCTTAATCTTGAAGCCAAAGAGGATCTAGCAAATCCCTCTTTGGTTCTTTAAGATTGTCTTCGTGTGGACTACGCAGGTTCGATCCTACACTTGGATCGGTAGACAACGTTCGACGACAAATTTGGAGGAGCCTTCAACGTGCGTTTGTTTCTCTTAACTCATGTTGTATATTATGCAGATTTTATTTAATATAAATTGTTAAAATCATACCCTTGATCTTGGCTCATGTAAACGATCCTGTTATTTTATTTTTCGTTTCCGCTGCGTATACGGAACCGTTTACTAACAACATGTCACTGACAATGGATCAAATTATAAGTTGCTGGAAGAATATTGTCTAAAAACATAATACTATTACTTGGCCATCTTGTGCACACATTGCATATTTGATGTTAGATATAGTGAGATAGATTGTGTAGTTAACCTTGTGACATGCATCTGAAGTGACAAATTTTGTGTATAATCATACATTCTTGATAGCTTAGTTGAGGAAAGACAAGTTTGGAAAGAAATTGTACACCCAACGCAACCCATTTTGCTACACTTCCATTGCATTGAGAAACCTTCATGAGCACAAACTGACTTGCAAGCAATGGTGACAGATATTTTTTTTTTTTTTTTTTTGTAATCGGGTGTTCAGGCCAACTTCACACACCTTAACTAATCCCTGTCCATTGACCACTCTACAAGTCATGAACCAGGTAACCCCAATGTATCTTTTTATGGATTCTTGATATGCAAAAAGTAATAAAGACAAAATGTTATTCCTAATTCTAGATAACGAATTCTGGGATGATATGAGTACAATTTCCAAGTTGTGGGTCCAATGATGCATTTGCTATAGATTGTAGACTTAGATGAAGGCTTGCAACAGGATATGTGTATGATGATGTGTACATAGCGAGATGGGGATCAAGTAGTTGTTTAAGAATAAGAAGATATTGTACAAAGCCTCATACGTAAATTATTAAGCTGCACGAGGATAGGTTGTTCGTCATGACATTCTGCTATAACTTATTATTGAATCCAATTTTTCTATATGACCATGCATCTTTAGCACCAAACTAGAGGTCACGAGTGGTCTCCTTGATATTATTAAAAGTAAAGCAAATGTGTTCAATGTAAGCAAGTCAAGTTAGTGGAAGAAGATAATATTTCGAGACTATGAAGGAAGCTTTTTTCGTGAGCTTGCTATTCGAACCTGCAAAACCACACAACCTGGTATGTATAGTTATTAAATTTCTAATTTAAGTATGATTTATGAGTTATGAACTTATGTTTGTTTCTTATGTTTAATTTTCAATTAGATGAATGGTGGAACATATGGGTACAGTACTCCAAATTTACATAAGTTTGTAATAAAATTCTAACCAAACTTCAACTTTTTCGAGATGTGAGTGAAATTTGAGTGTTTTGAACACATACATTCTAAAAAAAATAGATTGGGACATCAATAGTTGAATGATCTTGTTTTTGTTCATTATACTTGTGTTTGCAAAATAGGTATAAAATATTGATAATTATCTTATTATCTCTTATTTTCCTTAATATTTTATTTGTTATACTTTTAATTTTAGTTATATCTTTTAGGATGTGTTACAAGAAAATGATTTGGATCCTATTGATTATAAAAATATCGATAAATTGAAATTAGATCATTGACGATGAAGAGGAGTTGGTGAATTTAATTATGATGAATTTGAGCAAATATTTATGGAGAATGATTTATTCTTGTCGGTGTTAGTGATCACATTTCTTATTATGAATCACAAAACCTTCACAGGTTGTTTTCAAAATTTTAAGTAACTTGATTTTCATTAGTTTAAAATGAGAAGTTTTAACTTATGATTTTCATTTTTTACTGAAATTTTTGTAGATCGTGATGATGAGTCTGGTGAGAAAGTTAATTAAGGATTGATTCTAGTCATTTGGTGAAGCAAATATTGCCTTTGGCTCTATGGTGGAAATGACATTGAAATTGAAATGAATTTGAATTATTTTACTTATGTTCTATTGTTGCTTGGATTTGGATTTTAGATTTATTTTATTTATCACTTGATCTTTGGATTTGGATTTTAGATTTATTTTATTTATGTTATAGTATTATTTGAATTTTGGATTTGGATGATTTATTTTATAAACTTATTAATTATTAGGGAGCGTTTGGTTGGGGATTATGTGGGATTACTAGGGTATGTTATCTTGTATACTTGATTATCACGTTTGGTTGTCAAGTAATATAAGATTTCAATAATCTTCAAATACCAATAATATTGCCATTAGTAATATTGGAGGTAATCTGATACCTCATTTTCTTAGGTATTGTAAGATTACCAAGGTATATTTTTTTTTTTGTTACAATTATATCTCTTATTAATAAAATTTAGGATAATATACCCTTATTTAAAATTTGTTTACATGAATCTAACTTTTCATCCCAATTAATTACTTTTGGACAAAATTACCCTTGAAATCAAAACAATTTCAGTTTACCCAAGCCACCATCCCCACCCACCTACCACTAGCCAAACCACTGTCGATCGTTGCGTGAAGTCGTCAGAGATCGATTGGAATCGCCTTGAATAGCCGAGAACACCGAGAGGCTCCAATTGGCCTTTTCTTACCATATTGATCGCCGAAAATGCCTATCATAGTAGATCTGCCTTTAACAGCCAATCTATTCTGGTCTCCAACATCTCCGCTGCTACTCTATCATGTCTCCTCTACGTCGATCTCTCTTCGATCTCATCTCCACCATCGACAAGAGCCCAAGGTCGCTCAATCTAAATGGTGCGTTTTCCAACTTCTTTCGACGACTCACGATGGCGATTGTGGTATCGGCAATGGCTTGGGTGGTGGGGTGATTTTGTTATAATTGAGTTTTATATAAGTGGGAGTGTTTTAGCTAAATCTGAAATGTTGGGGGTTTAAAGAAATTATTCAAATTAATATAATATATTATATTAAAATTTTAAAAGAGGGTAATTTAGTAATTTAAATAACATACCTACCAATTTATTCCTCCTAACCAAACATATTAATATAACATACTTACAATTTATTCCAACTGACCAAACATATTTTTTTAAAGATTTTTAGTAATTTTCAAGGTAATTTAACTTTTCAGTAATCCAACGTTCTCAATAATCTAATACATCTTAAACAAACCGCAACTTAAGGTTTAAAATTTTATTAAGTTATGCTATGTCACTATGATATCATCGCACTAATGTCAGTATGAAATCATTACACTACATGATGGGTCGGCCGGCACTTTGACCAGGTCAAAGCCTGGGTGGTATTAAAACATTGAGTTTATGTTGAAGCTGCATTAATAATCATGGCGAGTGACAATATCTCTATCAAAGTTCTTCTTCTTGTAATAGTAATACTGGCTTCTTCCTTACTCAGTTTCTGTAATAGCACTCAAGCAACGAGAAGTTGCATGGAAATCGAGAGAAAAGCTCTTATCAACTTCAAGAAAGGTCTCACCGATCCTTCACTTCGCCTATCTTCATGGGTTGGCCAAGACTGCTGCAGCTGGGATGGCGTGAAATGCAGCAACAAGAGTGGACGCGTCATCATGCTTCAACTTCGCAACAAGTATTCAGGTCCCGATGGTGATGGAGCTGCATATGGTTTAGGAGGTAAGATAAACCATTCTTTACTTGATTTGAAGAATTTGACATTCTTGGACCTGAGCATGAATAATTTTGAAGGGATCCCAATCCCAGAATTTATCGGATCATTTAAAAGATTGAGATATCTCAATCTCTCATGTTCATCCTTTGGTGGAACTATACCTCCAACTCTGGGAAATCTTTCAAACTTGCTCTATCTAGATCTCAGCACTTACACTGTTGAATCAAATGAGAATGATTTACACTGGTTGTCAAGTCTTTCTTCTTTGAAACACCTAAATCTGGGAAATATTGATCTCAGCAAGGCTAAAAGTTATTGGCTTCATGTTGTTAACATGCTTCCATCACTTCTGGAATTTCATCTACCGGCTTGTGGACTTACTAGTCTTCCTCTTTCTCTTCCGTTTGTCAACCTTTCATCTCTTTCTGTACTTGATATCTCCAACAACGGCATCATGTCCCCAATACCCACCTAGCTTTTCAACTTAACTAGTCTCTTTTATGTTGACCTCAGCTCTAACCAGTTCCAGGGTCAAGTTCCCGAGGAGTTTGCGGAAATGAATTCCGTTCAATACATTGATTTGTCTGCTCAGAATTCATTTCTCAATGGTAAGTTGACAGGAAAGCTTGGTACTCTCTGCAACTTGCGCGTGCTCGATCTGTCTTTGAACAATATTAATGGCGAGTTAATCGAATTCACTGATGGCCTGTCAAACTGCACCAATTACTCTAATTTGGAGTATTTACATTTGGGTTATAATAAACTGGGTGGGTTTCTTCCTGATTCTTTAGGTCACTTGAGGAACTTGAAAGATCTTCTACTTATGGGAAACTCATTTTCGGGTTCCATCCCGCAATCCGTTGGAAATCTGTCATCCCTGGAAGAATTGTGGCTCTCCGAAAATGGGATGAAAGGAACAATTCCTGCAAGTCTAGGACAACTATCATCATTAGTTGTATTAAATACAGAAAACAATCAATGGGAGTGTGTCGTAACAGAAGCTCATTTTTCAAACCTCACAAGCTTAAAGGAGTTGTCCATTGTTCAGAAATTCAATAACATGACCTTAGTTTTCAATGTCAGTTCTGAGTGGATTCCACCTTTCAAACTCACACTTCTTCGCCTGAAAAATTGTCTATTGGGTCTTGAATTTTCCCTGTGGCTGAGAAACCAAAATGAACTACAGCATGTAGCTCTTTGCCAGGCCAATATTTCAGGCACCGTACCCCGGTGGTTTTGGGAGATGGATTTGTTTCTGGAACGACTGGATTTGAGTAATAATCAATTCACTGATACGGTGCCCAACACAATAAAGTTCAGTCCTCAAGCTGTAGTTTTCTTGAATGCTAACCGCTTTACAGGGCCTTTGCCACTATTATCATCCAATGTGAGTTCTTTCCATTTGGATCATAATCTTTTTTCTGGACCGATTCCTCCGGACATCGGTGAACGCATGCCCCTGTTGACAGATTTAGATCTCTCTTTCAACTCTCTCAATGGTGCCATTCCCCTGTCAATTGGGAAACTAAGTTTTTTGCTCACGCTTGTTCTCTCCGATAATCATTTGACTGGAAAAATCCCAAATTTTTGGGATAATCTATCAGGTGTCTATGTTACAGGCCTATCAAACAACAATTTATCGGGTGGGATACCTCCGTCATTGGGTGCTACTAGGGATGTAAACAGCCCAGTCAAACCGAGTATCACCCTAAACGAGCCTAGCTCGGTTAAGCATTAGACGAGTTCGAATCGAGTCACAAGTCGACCGAGTCAAGAAAACTTGGCTCGTGACTTGACTCATTTATAAACGAGCCGGCTCATGACTCGACTCGTTTATAAACGAGCCGGCTTGTGACTCAACTTGAGCTCATTTAACGCGAGCTCAAATTGGCTCGATTACGACTCGTTTGGCCCTTATTTAATATAACCTGTAGATCTTGTTTTACACAAACCAGATCTAATTTTTGATAAATTTGCGTTTATATCAAACATAAATCACATCCAAATCAACATAGACTACGTATTACACAACAAATTATACAATCCAAGACAAAAAAATGGGTGCTCATTTTTACATGTATTGCGTGAAACCCTTGACCATTCTGGAATCTCATATTTCAACATATTGTTCAAACCCTCCTCTTCCACAACGGTAAATGGGTGCTCATGCATAAGCACCCATTGTGCAACCAATTCCCTCATCACCATCATGTTGAACTCATCGGTAAGAGCAGGAAGGACAGATGTTCCCTTACTAGAATCAGCAGGAGGAAAATTAATATGTTGTTGTCTACGTGAAGCTGCTCGCTTCACACACCTTTGTAAATGTCTTCCAAGATGTGTAGTGCTTCCGGATGCATGAATTTGAAGCTTGTATTTACAATGGATACACTCTGCTTTCTTCTCGCCGTTAGGAAGGACCACTTCTTTGTATTCAGCCCATACTGTAGATGTCTTGGCTCTCTTTCTCCTTTGAAAGAGATTATCATTTGCATCCTCATTCGATGGGCAAGTAACACTTGGTTGCGTATTCACTGTTTCATCCAATGTTGGCTGGCTAGTGGATCCCATACCTGTAAAAAACAAATAAAACTTGTAAATGGTCCTGCCTAACACAATTTATTAACCAAAAAAACAAGCAAGGGTGACTGAATAAAAAACATTAGCACAGGCAACTAAATGGCAGTAAAAACAGGGGCAGCAATAAATCAGCCCAGCCAACAGCCCAACACAAACAGCAAAAGCAAGGGCAGCAAAAAACGCAGCCAACACAAACAGAGGCAGCAAAAATCAGCCCAGCCATCACAAACAGCAAAAGCAGGGCCAGCAAAAAACCCAGCCAACACAAACAGGGACAGCTACCGTAGACACAGCAGGAATGCAGGATGATCAATGCACAAGGCTCATGCAAAAAACCAAGAATTTCCAGCAAGAATTACAAACAGCAAAAGCAGGGGCAGCAAAAAAGCCCAGCCAGCACAAACAGGAGCAGCAAAAAACCCAGCCAACACAAGCAGCAAAAGCAGGGCAGCAAAAAACCCTTCCGAAAGCAATCCGAAACATGTATTCTCATATGCTGCATGGAGTTTGGTAGACAGGGTTGAACAAACATTGAACAACAGAAGATGCGTCACTCTCCAGCCAATTATTGCTATTATTTAGGTGATAAATAATTTTTACTTAAAAAAATCTATTTATATCATTTCTTGATTCAGACCATTACTTTCTCTTAAATTTGTTTAACTCTCGGTCTCACTATTGAAAGACTTTAAGATAGACCAATACAATTGTTTATTTTGCATGGAATCAGTTCTTATCTATTCAAGATTTGTTATAAATTAAATAAATAATTATATAAACTATTGAGAGCAGAGTTGACATTTTATTTTGTTTAATTTTAACTACTCATAAAATTTTCATGTTCATTATCACTGAGTATGGAAGATTAGAAATCACAAAAAGGAAGAAAATGCCAATTACAGATAGACACAGCCCTAACCAATCAATAATTTTCCAAAACCAAAATATATATAGATAAATTGTTAATATATTATCTGAAAAAAACAAAATAAAATTCTTGAGTACTGCTGGGTCGTAATTGGAGATATAAAATGGCTCAGCTGTGTTGTTGTTTAACTAAATATAAGGCACGGATTGCTTATTAACGAAAACACGCCAAAGAAAAATCATTTGAACGCATTCGTTATTTGAAGAACATTTAATTGAAAAATTGCTCTAAAATCATGCAAAGTAAAGCTACTAAATAAATGATCAAACTATATATCTCGAAGGCAAAGGAGAAAAATGACGAATGCTGTTTGTGTTGGCCATCGTAAGCTTGCTCATATAGCCAAAAAATCCAGATTTTTTGAAGGAACAAACCTGTTGCAGACGAGATACACAACTCCTCACAAATTCTTCGCAAAAATCGGCGTCGTCGGCGACAAGAAGCGGTGGTTATTGGTGATTGGGTAGTTCTTCTTGTGTTTGTGGGTGGCTTGGTGTGATAATCGGGAAATTGTTTTTAGGGTTCTTGATTTGGGGGAAAATGCATTTACGGGATTTGATTTTGGGTTCATTGGGGTTAAGGGTTAATTTGTGATTTTTTAAACCTTTTAGTCTTTTACATGTCAAATTACATAACAAACCAAAAACTTATATTATGCGCAGAAAAACCCTAAACGAGCCAATATTGGCTTGCGAGCCGAATTGAGCCGAGTCGGGGTAGACTAGAACTCGGCTCGGTATCTTACTCGAGTCGAATTCGAGCAGGCTTTAATCGAGCCGAGTTTGAGTATTTAACGCGCGAGCTGACTCGGCTGGACTGACAGCCCTAGGTGCTACATCATGCCTATTCTTAATGCTGAGCAACAACAATTTATCCGGAGAAATACCTTCCACTTTTCAGAACAACACAGGCATCAAAACTCTTGATGTTGGAGACAATTACCTCTCAGGTAAGGTTCCAACATGGATAGGAGAAATGCTACCATCTTTGTTGATTTTGCGTCTTCGATCGAACTTGTTTTCAGGAAACCTTTCCTCACTACAATTGTGCAATCTCTCGTCTCTTCATCTCTTAGACCTTGCACATAACAATGTTTCAGGATCCATTCCCTTGTGTTTTGGGAATTTGAGTGGCATGGCATCTGATCTCGAAGATGAACGTTATGAAGGGCAGTTGCTGATGGCAACCAAAGGGAGAGAATAATTGTATAGGGATACTCTCTATCTCGTCAATAGCATTGATCTTTCTTGCAACAACCTATACGGAGAGGTGCATGATTTGACAAATCTTTCAAGACTGCAAATCTTGAACTTGTCTATGAACCATTTGACAGGAAATATACCAGAGAGCATCGGCAGCTTGAAATATTTGGAAACTCTAGACCTCTTCCAGAATCAATTTTATGGTGTCATTCCACCAAGCCTGACTGCTTCAACTTTCCTAACCCATTTGAACCTATCATACAACAATCTCTCAGGAGAAATCCCATCAACCAACCAATTCTTGACTCTCAATGATCCATCTATTTACCAGGGCAATCCTGCTCTTTGTGGCTCTCCACTCTCCAAGTGCGGCAAAGACAACAATGAAAAATCTCATCAATTCCCCGGCGACAGCAATGAAGATGGCGATAGCATTGAAAAGCTCTTGTTTTACTACACCATGGTTCTGGGATTCCTCGTTGGCTTCTGGGGAGTTTGTGGATCATTGATAATGAAGAAGTCTTGGAGGGTTGCCTACTTCAAATTTGTAGATGACATGAAAGATAAGCTCGTCTTATTTGTCTTGTGAAGAGTGGTAAGCTTCCAGAGACTGGTGAAGAAAGAGATGATTGAGGTGTAATGGGAAAATTACGTCAGTGTAGTTTTTAAGTATCTTTATTACTGAACTTTTATACACTATTCTATTTATATTTAGAAATAGTGTATAATTCCTCGGTAACATTTGATCGAATTTGAGGTGACCTGATTGCTCACCCAGTAAGGTTTTATTGAATAGGAAGATTACTCCCTCTTATAAACTAATAAACTTGAGCGTGCCTATTTAGTGTAGGACTCCAACACTCTCCCTCACGGTCAAGCTCATATGTTGGAGGTAGTTGTTGGCTCTAACTCCTCACCTGTTAATCAAGTACTCAGCTCAACTAAATCCGACTCTGATATCATGATAGAATTTGAGGTAGACCTGACTCCTCACCTAATAGAGCCTTATTGAATGGGAGGATTACTCTTTCTTATAAACTAGTAGACTTGAGTGTGCCTAGTCAATGTGGGACTCCAACAACATTACAAATAACGATATGAAATTAAATTAATGTACTTGTTAAATCCAAATAAAATTTCAAACATTTTAGAAATAGTTTGTACTTTAAGAAATTAATTTAAACATGAGTGAAGTGAAAGATGTCTTTTGATTTTTATTTGTCCTTTTATCTATTTTGTCACATCCAAGAATTTGTTACTTTAACCACAACCGGCGGCAGGGTGGTAAAAGAGTAAAGAATGATTTAATATATTCTCTCAAGTTTGAGTTCCCTTGATGATAAAAGAGCAAGAAGAGGATCTAACATTAGCTCTCAGTTCGAGTCCTCACGATCAACCCCTAATAGGGGTGGCCACTAGAGCTTTTATCGGCTCACAGCCCCTAAAAGAGGTCGTCACTAAAGCTTTTAGTTAGCTCACGACCCCTAATAGGGATAACCATTAAAGTTCTTACTCGGTCGGTAGTTATAGGATCTCAAGAGAAGAATAAGAGGAGGATATAACATTTTCTCAAGAGTTTAAGTTCCCATGACCCCTAAATAGGGGTGACCACTGGGGCCGGTAGTTCCGGCCCCCACCCACTCCATCGTAAAAATTTTGTCTCTAATCATGGAAATTAACCGTTAATGTGAATGTTTCAGTTGATTTTTTATTTTATTTTGCTCATGTTTTTCGATGGTTTTGATGTTGAAGGAATAAAAGCCTGCCAACTGTGAGGGGTTTAATGAATTTGTTTGAGTTGCGATTGATTAGCTTCTGGGTTCCTTTGTTATGCATATCATCGTGTTTGAACCAATGTGTTTACTTTAACCATGCATTGAAAGTGTTTGTAAAAATGGCTTAACTGAGAAGTGATAAGTGAATTCCTAAACTAATTTGAGTTATAGTAAACAATTCTGAAAAAAAAATAGAAGAGAAAAAGTCAGCTTTCACATAACATTAGTATTACTATTCCCAAATTTCACATATGGAATGTTATGTGAATGCCACATATAATAATGACCATAATTTGGGGACGTGAATTTGAGATAAGATTTTGGGATAGTATTACTCTCTAAATAATTGGTTGAATGGATATCGTGAGTTGGTTGAGTGATTGCCCTGAAATTTGTAAAGACTTGGCGAATTTCTGTTTTTCAGACTTTGCCGGGGCAAAGAAGAAGCTTTGCCGTGACGATGTAGGTTCTGGAAGTTTTCGCCAGGGCGAAGAAAGATTCTTCGACGCGGCGAAGGGCATTACAAAAGGTTGATTAAGTTTCTAGAGAATTCTTCCTTTGGAGCACAATGACCATTCTACCCCTAATTAGCAGGAAAAGTGGGGAGTGAAATGCAAGGAAATTGCATGAAGAATAGTTTAAATGGGGGTGCATTTGCAAAGAATTCAAAGGCCAAAGTGGAATTTCTAAGAAAGAATAAGGGTAAAATGGGAATGAATGAATATATTTTGAGCTAAAAAGGGTTGAAGTTTAGTAAACCCTTCATTCATTCTTCTTCCACCGCCATTCTCTCCCACCATTTCCTCTCAAATTCTTCCTTCAATCTTTCAAGGAGTTTTGAGAGTTTTTAGTTGGATCTTGGTAGAGAATTAATCTAAGGCATCCTAAGGTAAGGATTCTTGCTTTAGATGAGAGTTTTATTATGTTTTAGTTAAAGTCTTATGTTGTGGTTGTTATTTAAAGTTGTAGAGAGAAATCAAGCTACTAAAGGAAATGAGAAGTATTAGAGAAGCTATTTCCTCACAAGGTAAGTAAATCCCAACCCAAGTTGAGATTTGAGAATGCTCTTGAGTAGAGATTTAGTACAAAATGATGTATGCATGTTATATGTATGTTATTGAGAAATTGAGTAGAGATATATGTCTTCTTGTTGAGAAAATAAGTTGAGAATGAGTATTCATGTTGTGTTGTTGGGTATAGTGTTGATGTGTAAGGAGTTGAGATGAAGTTGGATGAGATTGAGTATATATTTTGGGAGTGTTCCTCTATGATAGGGGTTATGCCCATGGAAGGGAGTTTGTTCCCATTTTTGGATAGGTAAAAAAAGAAATGGAGTTGTAGTTAGAAAAGAGTTGTTAGATGCACATAAGTTGCTTGATGAAATGCCTAAGAGAAGCATGAGAATGAGTTATGAATCTTACTTATTGCAACATTGCATATTGGCATTTCCTAAGTGCATTAAGGAAAATGAACCATCCATATGCATTAATTGTGCATTGAGGAATGACTTAAGAAAGAGTAGAAAACTTTGTAAATGAACTATTCAAAGAGTAGAGAGAGTGAGAAGTGCTAGTGCTAGAGGAGAGTGAATGCGAAGAGCACTAAAAAGGGGTAGGTGCTTTGTGATCTCCACCCGAAAGTCACGAAGTTACGAAGAGTGGGATGGTGCTGTGTGAACTCCACCCAGCCGTGCCTCCGGTAAGATGAGGCTGTGACATACAGCAACAGTTAAGTAAAGAGAGTTGTGTGACAGATGAGTACTGTAAGGAAAGAATTAGAGAAAGAGTTATAAGGACAGTCGAGTAGAGGATTTACTTATGAGCATTATTTCGTGCTCACCCCATTGTTTTTCTTTGTGGTTGCAGGAACTAGGTGAGAACGCGGTTGGATCGGCGTCGGCAAGCGAAGAGTGATAGCTACACTGTCCACTGTTTCATTACACTACAACATTATGCATTTTTAGCCATGGAGTTCATTGTAGCTAAATGTATGAATTTACGTAGCTAAATGGTTTAGCTACAAATGCAATGTTTTGTAGCTTATCATAGCTAGAAGTGGTGTAGCTAAGATTTAGCCATGTAACTTTTTGCTTTCGTATCTAACAATTTATATTTTTTGCTATAAATGAGATTAATATGTAACTAAAAACTTAAATGTTTTTGCCATAACAATAATAAGCTTGTAGCAAAAAATTTGCCTTTATAGCCACGGAGAATAGTCTGTGTAGCTATGTTTGCATTTTAGCTACAAAAATATAAATTTATAACTAATCTTGAAAATTTCTGCTACAAAAATAATATCCATAGCAAATATTTAACTTTTTGACTACGTGACAGCTAAAATCATAACTAAATAAAAATATTATTTGCCACATATATAGTGAATTCATAGCTAAATTTTATTTTTTTTTGCTACAAACATATGAAAGTCATATCTGTATATGAAAAGATATTGCTATGGACATAGTGTATTAATAACTAAATATTGAAATTACTTTCTATGAATACTTTTGATTTGTAGCTAAATATTATTTATTTGCTATGAACATATTGAAGTCATATCTATATGTGAAATTCAGTTGCTATGGACATAGTTTGTTCGTAGCTAAAAATTGAAATAACTTGCTATAAATACTTTTAATTTGGAGCTAAATATTATAATTATTTGCTATGGACAAATTTTATATAAAAAATTTATAATTTATTGCTTAATTAAATTAATTTTACAAATATTGCTATAATTAACAAATTTAATAATAATTACAAATTTATAGCAATTCTTTTATATTAAATAGATAATATGACGTCATATGAAAATTTCTAACATAAAAAGTTATACATTAACAAAGTCATTTCCAACCAAATAATGGTCTACTCATAAAATCCTTCATCCTAGTAATTTAAAATGTTATCAACTAATTTTTTTTTTTTACAAAATATGAATCTTCAATGTCATAGCAATCTTTCCGACCATTTAAGAATTTCCACCAACCTGCAATATCAAATTTGAAAAAAAACTTAGATTAATCATATAGATTAATGTAATCATTGCATATCACTTTATGATTAATGTAAAAGCAAAATGGTTTTCATAGTATATATGCAATTTTCAAAATAACTTACAATTTCATCCAAATGGATTTGGTTATTTATTGAAGATTGTTGACCTTGAGTTGTAAGCATCGTCATGAACTTCTTTCCCATCGTCTATTCATCTCCTCCATTTGCTTTTTCACTTCTTCTAATTTCTCATTGCTTCCCTCTTTGCCTCCTCACCCTTCATTTGCTTCCTTCCTAGTTGTTTGTACTTGTTTCATAAGTTGTGTTTTAGTTGGTCTACTTCCAAAATATTGGTAATACTTTTTCCTGGACCATAAGCACGCAAATAGCCATTCTTCTCTGGACCAAGGACCCTTCAAATATTTCATCACATCATAAGATTTGTCCTTCTACTTGTTGCTTTTTTAATCAATCAAACTGTGACTACAAAACAAATCTATGGTATGTCTTGGATGTGTGTGCGTACTAAAAAATCAAGAAGTAGTTAAAGAAATGCAAAGCTATTACAATAATGTCTTCTGTAATGGATTCAACTTGCTTATCTTTCTTTTTTGCGAGATTCTATCCAAACTTCACACGAGAAGGAGTATATCCATTTTTCTTTTGCTGTCATAATAAATTTATGAACATATTGATTAAAATAATGATGTGAATTATACTTAATCTCATATTTGAAAGCAAATTCATACCATTTGACGTCTAAGTCGAGCAAACTTTTAGTTCCTGTGTAAGGAGCATAGACCGCTTGATCTATT